CCGCTGCTAATAACACAAGCTTCATACTGTGCCAGGCAACCTGGCTGCAATGCACCCAGGTTACTGTTTGAGAAAGAGCAGGAGAGGAAAGAAGGCAGAAGGAAGTCAGATGGAGATCACAAAACAACCAAAGATCCTGGAAAGGGGGTGAAGACATTAATACAGAAAGAAAATAAGCGAGAGAGCAAGAAAGCAAGTGAAAAAAAAAAGAAAAGGAAAGAAAGGCTGCACTGCAAAACATAAATAGCTGCCGGGTTAAGAGAAAAAGGATCGGGAAGACATTTAGTGGGAAGCGGAAATCAATAAGGCAAGCGGTGAAGCTGGGAGGGAGTTCTAAGTGGATTAGATTGAGAGAATGTGTTCGATAGGTTATGGCTCTGAGAGAGAGGTAGCCAGACACCGCAGGCTCTATTGCATACTAATAAGGAAGCCAGCATGGAAGCTAAGCACAGGGTTGTGCAGTTCACTGTGAAGATTTTTTTCTATATATCTCTGGCATCACTGGTTACGGTTTTTCCCAGGGTTTGGGGTTTAGCTTGTTCCTTAAAATTCATGTTCAAGATAAAACTCCATCTCGACTGCAATGAGAGCCATTCTCCAGACTTGTTCTAACATTAAGGCACAAAATTTACAAGGAGTTGAGTAACTGTAGTTAAACTTGACAGCAGTGTCTTTAATGCGCTCCTCCTTACAACAAGTTTTGTTTCACGTTTCTGGCATAAACCCAGCCGCCATTTCTCTGGCCAAGCGCCTGGGCCTGGGACAGCTGTCATGGTCGGAGTCTCAGGCTTGAGGGAAAGCCAGGGACTGAGAAAAGAAAAGAGAACGGGAGAGAAAAGGAGTGAGAGTCACTTGGCCGGGCAGTGTGCCGCAGGGGTGATTCCTGATGGCAGAGGAGGATAAGGGGATACGAGGGGGGAGAGAGGCAGGGAGGGTTAGATGTTTTGCTTAGTCACAGACCTCCACTGTGACCCAGAAGGTCAGACCTCCGCACTGGCCGCCTGACCAAAGCCTCTGAGGCAGCCAGGCGGAAAACAAGATGCAAACAGCGATCCCCAGCAGTGTGGCGAGCAGGCAGTGGAGAGTCTTGAAGATACCGACCAGCCAGACTACCCAGCTTGAAGGATTGGTTCATTGGGTGGAGGGGTGTGTGCGGGAGACAATCACAAGGGCTTACTCCCCCTCACTTAGGCCAGTGAACCAAGGGACCACCGGCTATACCACAAGAAGTGGCAGAAGAGCGGAGACAAACAGTTGCCAAGAGACCACCGGTGATCCCATGACTGCTGTGGTTTGACCCCGATTGAAGAGTTCAACGACAGGGGCTTAAGAGAATCCGCCCTTCCCCAACAGCTCTGCTGACCACCACCACCCCCACCACCACGGCAAAAAGTCTTCCTCCTCCACGTGCCCCGCGCCGGCACAGGCATGTTTTCACTGATCTGTTTTGCTCAATTAAACTTCAGAGGACACCCTGTCACATCTCTTTGTAAAGGTCGTGACCTTAGGGGCAGAGGTTAAGCCTGGCAATTGTAAAACAAGGTTTTGATTAACATGGCGGCTTGTATCCGGAGGTAATCCATCCATTTCTACAAACTATCATGGAAAAAAAACATCACAGGGGGTATGGGGGTGGGAGTAAAGGTAATGATGTTTTATGGCCACGTTAACTTTCAGCACACGACTAATGGGAAGGCTGCTTGACCTTGACTTCTTTCATCCCGATTTGGACTACCTCAGCAATCCTTCGACTCTCACGGTTTCTAAGGAAATCCACTGCCAACTTTCTAAATGCTCGGAAATCTTTTTAGGAATTAGTCACTGAAGATCATGTAAGAAAAAAAGAAATGACTCACATTACGCATGCATCTTAATAAAAAAAAAGCCTTTTTACAATGTTATTCTCTATTTTCTCCTTTTTTCCATACATGGCCAGAAAGAACAAGTGAACACAATAAGTATATCTCTGCAGTTGCTTGAACAAACAGGGATGAGCAGCCTAACAAAAACCACATACAAACGAGGCCTGGAGACTCCCAGCGTGTCCCGACACGATGATTATCTACATGCCCCGTTGCAACTATTCCATCACGCTGTCAAACTGGATATGCAAAATATGAATCTAGGAGGTGAGAGTTGATGATTTAAAAAAAACAAAAACAAATAAAAACTTCTCTTCTTGTTTTATTGGAAAATGATGAAATGGTGCAGTGGATTACCACGGCAGTACGTGTGTGTGAGTGTGAGAAGCCCGGGCCCTGCATTGAACGCGGCCTGCCAGTTGGCACAATGGATGCCACAACCCCCACTCCCAGCCCCCAGCCTACTTCCCAGCGGGCATTCATCTGGGCATGCACATGGGTGCTACAGCTCTGCCTGGCTAAACGCGTCTGTGCCCCAGAACAAGGGAGCTGAGTGCCCTCTCAAAATTCACCCGGTACACTCGCTGCCAACCCGCCGACCTTTCTCAGGCAGCAGCCCACCAGAATCAAAAACAAACACTCTATGAACCCCATTTTTTTTCTCACGAAAAGTAACAAAAAAAAAAAAAGATTTTCCAGAATAAATAACAGCAGCGAAATAACGGATTAGAAAACACGGCAGAAGCAGAACTACATTAAAAATCACAGTCCGAACTCGCTCTTTTCCCCCCCCCACAAAGTTCGCACAATAACCAGATTCTGTTGCAGCCCGAGCCGTTTGCTACTTTCTTTGTGTTTGATTGTATGTTTGTTTGTTTCGTGCAGTTGCAGCAGAACAAAGGCAGCGGCTTCCATTCTGCCACTGTCAAAAAACTTTCCCAACGTGCCCACTGCATTGCGGATGCCAACCAACGAATCAAAGGCACGCTGCAAGCAGACAAAGAGAGTTTGATGCCAACCTCCAAACCTCTAACAACCATTACTGGTGATTTTGCCTGCCTCCCTGGCACCGTGTAAAACAAAATGGCGCCGTGCCGCACGCTACCACAACATGGCTGCATTGTCTGGGTTTGTGGACCGCTCGGGAACTTAAAGAAAAGAAGGCGACGCTTTAGTTTGCAAAAACTGGAGAAGGAAAAGAAAAAGATGGCCATCTGAGTGATCCCCGCTATTCGGTGTTTGCCAAGCATTTCACTCAATGGGAATTTTGAGGATGGCGGCAAATGATCGTTCCCAAATAGAAAAACATGACATTATTTTAACCTTTTATTATAAACACTGAAACGAATCTTCAATATGATCGTCCTCTCTACTCAGATACAGTTTACTAAAACAGCGGCTGTTTTATAAAGTCAGTTTTGTGATAAAACAGCACTAAATTCCGTTTCTCGAGTTGGTACTGAGCAGTTCAAAATGCAGCAGATGTAAACCAGGGAAGCGGTGGCATCCTACAAAAGACACAAAAGAGGGTCTGATGCCAACCCCGGTGCCAATGGCAACCATTATTGTCTCTGTGCTGTGCCTTCTGCTTTCCCTGGCACTTATCAAACACAAAATGGCGCTCAGGGTTTGATGATAATGAGCTAGCTATACCACTACCCTTCAATGGGAGCACAGTGTAGTGGCGGCTATTCGGTGTGGTTGCAGTAGATTTAAGGGCAGCACATGGGAGGTTTAAAAGTGTGGGATGTATATGACTGAAATGTGTTTACTCGCAGTCAGAGGAGACCTGAATTTCATTTTCAAAGGCTTTTTAAAGGTGTTATCTGATTCGAGATCCGAGTAAGAAAAAACAACATCATTCACAGTATCCTGTGAAAAGTGTTTTCTGTAGAACTCATTGAACCTGGAAGAGATCACATCTGAATGCGGCGTTGCTCTGATCATGCTCTGAGTGAAAATCTCCCAGTTTACAGTCTGCATGACTGACTATGTAAACCAGTTTCTGGTGATGTACACTAGAAACACCGTTTCTATTCTGGACTTTCATCAATGCCTTTATTTTATTTTTGCGGCCGTGTTTACTATTTTTTATTAAAGAAAAAAAAGAAAGAAATCCTAGCAAATTAATTCTGGAAAGAAAAAGAAATAAATGAAAACATCAATTTAAAATATATGCATGACAAAAACTATTCTAACTAATTTAACTAACTATTACCCTCTTATAAAGTACACTTCCTAAACAGTGCAAAATGTGTCCTCTAAACCTTTCATGTAAAAGAATCCAGATTTTTTAGGGATCGGGAAAATAACATGCAATAACATGACACACGAGGAAGAAAACAGAAAAAACAGAAACTTTAAATTTTATAACAACTGAAAGTGTTTTTATGTCTGTAATGTGTGTTACTATTAGAAATCTCTTTATTGATCACACGTATTACCATTTTAATTGGTGGAAAATCAACAGTGTTTGCAGACAAACCAGTTTGAAATTTTTATCGTGGAATGAAAACTAAAAAGGGACAAATGCCATGATTATTTTTAAAATATTGAGATTAAAAAGTGAAAGACTTTTTTTTAAAATCTTAGGTTTCATTAAATGTTATTTATTTATTTATAAATGAATTAATAAAATATAACACTGCTCCATATATTCAGCATTTGGACATTTAAGACTGAAACTTTCCACAAATGCCACCACTTGATTTCCAAACAAATGGAACAGTTATGCAGTGTGTGTGCAGTTGTGCAATCCTGCGTGTGTGTGTGTGGTTGTGTGTGTACAAGGTAACTGAATAATTACAGGAGAATTACAGGGATATAAGCTGCTGCTGGATTTCAGCAAAGCAAACACAGTTAACACATGGTCTTATCTAATTTTGATGACATTGTTTTTGTAATGAGGCTTGCTTAGAAAAATAAAAATGTTTGTGGTATAAATGTATGCACAGTACTAACGGTCACAGTCGTACATTTGCTCCTCTGGCAGATTTAGAATTGCCAGAAAATAACTCATGCGACTCTTGACCTTGCTAAATCATCACTCACTCTCTCTCACACACACACACGCACAAGCACAACATTAACTGTCTCTCTCTCACACACACAGAGAATCAGTATGAACTTGAAACCTACCTTGGTCCTGGACATAGTATGCTAGAAACAAGTCCAGCTCCTTGACTGATACTGTTATGTGGTGTGGCTGGACACAAAGTGCTGGGTTGGTGCAATGTGGAGACTTGACGAGGCGCTCGCCATCTGTACTTTCCAGAGGGATGCCTTTGAAGAGGATGACCATCACCAGGTCCAGACGCCATACTTTGTCGGCCTGCCGCAAACAGTCGATTCGTCGTATCTTGCCCTTTTGGTCCGGGTTGGATAGCACGCAGCAAGGGGGCTTCTTGCCCGTCACGCTGAGGACAAAGTCCTCCCGGTACTCCTGCCGAATGTCCTTACGCAGCTTGGCTAGCAGCCTGGATGCCCATTTCTGCTTAACCTCGGGCTTCTCGCTCAGAAGCTCATCCTTCACCGCGCGCTCCTCGTCCTTGGACATCCGCTTCTCGTGCTTCTTGAAGTACTTGCGTTTTCTGGCCTGGAGGTTGAACCACGTGTAGGCGATGGCGCGGACGTGAGGAAGAAGTGCCTCGATGAAGGGATGAAACTCATCCTGGAGCATCCGAGGGGCACAGTGTGGAGAAAGAGACAGAGAGAGAAGGAGAGAATCAGAAACTCATGTCATCAAACATGAAGAAATATGTGTTTACCCAGCTACTAATTTAAAGCAGAAGGGAAGTCAGACCACAATTTTAAAATCCCTCATAATCAGTCACATAATGTCACTGGCAGTTTCTTCCAGCTGAGAATGATCTCTTTATATTAGGAACACTAGCTTTACCATCCTAGATATGCTGCAGGTGTGACAGGTAAATTCCACCGTTTATATCAACTCGAAGCCCGGTGACTGAATGCACTTGCAGCTCTGCTCGCATTTCACGACCATGCTCTGAGTGGGACTCCTGTAACACTGCTGCTGCTGCAGGGAGCATGCGCCCCGCACAGTTGCATTTCTCTTATCAAACTATCCACATACCATAATCTGGAAGTGGGATGCAACCATTAACAAAAAAAATAAATAAAAAAAGGAAGTCAGAGAGATACTCATTCTTCAGACACGATGCACACGGCCTCGTGTATACATGCCAGCTTAAAGTACAAAACGGAATAAAACACAGGCAGGCGAGAGAGGCGGCACATCAAATGAAGCAATAGTGTGAAAGGTATTTGCAAAGGTTGATCGAGTACTCAAAGGATTTCATGCCAAATCGTTTCAAGCATTGAGGTTAACACATGGAATGGCACCTGCCCAGCTTCATTCCTAAAAGTTGAGGTTAGGCAGCCCGGCCTACTTTTAAAATGTTTCATCTCACTTTTATTTAGCTATTCATTTTTGTTTAACTCATTTC